GGAAGGGGCCTTCCTGCCCTTCCCTTTCGTTGCCCGCTGCAGCCCACCCTGTGGACTACACAACACGGGCCTGGTGTCACGAGTCAGCTTTTATACCCTGCTGTTGCAGAAAGCGGGGGATACTGAATGGAGGGCGTGTCTTCTCGATAGCGGTTGGACCTTGAAGTCTCTAAAAAGGCTACTGTTTTATTATTGATCACCATTAGGAGAGGTGCAGAATTTGTGCAGACAGAGGCTCCTGTATACGCCATGTGTACCATGCCTTTTTCTCTTGTGAGAAACTCAAGGCGGCTGGCACAATGCTTGGCCCAATTTGATGCTCACAACAACGACCCTCCGGGGTAGGACAGGTCAGCCCCCCCCCCCATTTTTTTTATACCAATCCATAGACATATTCAAATCTGCGCACAGTCCCGTTTCTCTAGCCAGTAATAAAAAGAGTTCCAGGTTTGACAGAAGTACGTATCCTCTTTCTCCTTCAGAGACAAAGTCAGCCTGTCCATTTCAGCCCAATCCAGGATCTCTTTAAAAGTCAGTTCAGCAGAAGGTGGTTCTTCACTCCTCCAATGCTGGGCAAATACAATCCTTGCCGCAGTAATTACTACATGGAAATCAAATGTGTTGCCTGTTTGGCAACATCATCAGACACAATACCTAATAAAAATACTTCAGGTTTAAATATTAAAGATTTTTGTAACATTTCCTTAAGCCATTTATGTAGTTTAGCCCAATAGTTTTTTGCCTTATGACAAGTCCACCACATAGGATAAAAAGGACCAGGTTAATGTTTGCCTTTCCAGTGAAAGCCTTCAGGCCGCAATTCTCGGCAGTGGCCACAGGAGGGCACTCCAGGCGCGCCGCTGACGCCTCCGTTGCTGAGCGTAGAGCCACACCGGGATCCCCGGCTGCACGAAGCCCACCCCACGCACGGGCGCACGCTGCGGCCGCCCCCCTCTTTTGGAAGATCACCCCTTCGCCCCTCCTGGGACACGGGCTGGCCCTGGCCCTGGCCCTGGCCCTGGGTTTGCCGCGGCTCTTTGTGGATGCCGCAATCGAATCCGTTTCTTCACTTTCGTGGCTCCAGACACGCGCCTGCGCGGAGACAGGCCACTTCCAAAATGGCTGAAGGGCAAGGCCCCCTCTCTGGGTCGGACACTACCAACATGGCGAGGGCCGAAATCGCGTCACTTCTGCGCGCCGCAGGCGCCTCGATTTTGACGTCACGCCGAGCATGGCTTCCTGAAGGCTGCATGAGGCTCCTTGCTGCCCTTCTGTCTTTCTTGCCATGGCCGCATGCATGAAGAGAGAGATGGAAAATGGATGTGCTTACTCCTGCGTTCTCTCCCATAGCCAGAAACTTCATACTGGAAATTATCTCTCAGCGATGGTCCTTGTGATGGCAAACAGATGATTTTGTCGGTGTGGGTGTCTTAGGCACGCTGGCCAAAGGAAGATCTGGTCCATATGAAGGCGAAAAATGCGATCTCCTCCTGCTCGGCATCTACTCGAAGTAGGGATTAGATTCTCCAGGCTTGGACTCGCAGCTGCCCTACCTCGCAGGGCTGTTGTGAGGATAGAGCGGGGAGAATGGGAACCGTGGGAGCTGCCTTGGGGTTAAGATTATCTCCAAGATCATTTTCACGCATGCTATCGTCAAGGGTCAGAAGAGCTAAAAGTATTTCGTGGGAAGGGCTAGCCCTGATGCCCATGGGTGCCTGCCTTCTCTCCCCTCAGCTCTCATTCTTTTTTTCTCATTTCCTTCTCCTCTACACTCAAAGCACTCAAAGACAGGATGTCTCATGAGAGAAAAGGCTGGTGAAAGCCTTTGTTTTTTGTTTTTTTAATTAAGTTTTATTATTATTATTTTCTACGAGCTAAAAAAATAAAACTAAAAACATCAATCATCAGAGACATCAGAACTGCTAGGTCAGCCCCCCCCCCCATTTTTTTTATACCAATCCATAGACATATTCAAATCTGCGCACAGTCCCGTTTCTCTAGCCAGTAATAAAAAGAGTTCCAGGTTTGACAGAGCATGTATCATCTTTCTCCTTCAGAGACAAAGTCAACCTGTCCATTTCAGCGCAGTCCAGGATCTTTTTAAAAATCAGTTCATCAGTAGGCGGTTCTTCACTCCTCCAATGTGGGGCAAATACAATCCTTGCCACAGTAATTCCTACATGTAAGTCAAATACGTTGCCTGTTTGTCAGCATCATCAGACACAATGCCTAATAAAAAGACTTCAGGTTTAAATATTAAAGATTTTTGTAACATTTCCTCAAGCCATTTATGTAGTTCAGCCCAATAGTTTTTTCCCTTACGACAAGTCCACCACATGGGATAAAAAGGACCTGGTTTATGTTTGCATTTCCAGTGAAAGCCTTCAGGCCGCAATTCTCGGCAGTGGCCACAGGAGGGCACTCCAGGAGCGCGGCTGATGCCTCCATTGCTGAGCGTAGAGCCACACTGGGCACCCCCAACTGCACGGAGCCCTCCCCACGCACAGGCTGCCCGCTGCCGGCGCTCCCCCTTTTTGGAATATCTGCAGCGGAGCCCTTTTGCCCCTCCTGAGACACGGCCTGGGCCTGGAATTTGTGAATTTGGAGGAATTCTGCCAACCTGCCCATTTTGGCTTCTTTTGGGGCCGTGACCCGTGGGTCAGTGTCGCAGGCTGATTTTGGGCTTTTTGGACAGATTCTGCATGCGTTCCCCAGGCACCCCTTGCAGGCCCTGGAGTGGCGCCCATGCTCCGCTGGTATGAGGAGTCCCCTCGGAGGAAAGACTTTGAATTTGGAAGCAGAATGGCAGGTTAAAGCCTTTCCTTCACTTGTCTTATCAGGGCTGAGGGCACACGAGTCCGCAATTCTTGGCAGTGGCCACAGGAGGGCACTTTCGGCGCGCCACTGATTCCTCCGTTGCTGCGTTTAGAGCCACACTGTCCCCCTCCTCCCATTTTTAAAGCCCTCCGCACATTCAGGTGCATGCACATTTCAGGGTCACCTCACAGTCTGGGGCGTGCCTTATGTGTTTGAGAGGATTAAACTCTGGCTCTGTCTTCGCATCCCCACCCTTTTGTACTATCATTGAGGGAGCCCTTTCGCCCCTCCTGGGAAACGGGCTGGGCCAGGTAGAGCTTGGCATTTTGTGGAATGCCACAATCTGACTCTTCAATTGCGTAGATCTAGATACGCCCTTCTGCGGAGACAGGCCACTCACAATATGGCAGGCGGGCAAGGACTTTTCTTAGCGGACATTACCAATATGGCGAGCGCCGGAAATGTCACTTCTCCGCGCCGCAGAAGTCGCGTTTTGGCATCACACCCAGCATGGCTTCCTGAAGGCTACGTGAGGCTTCTTGCTGCCCTCCCTGCCTCTCCTGACATGGCCGCCCTAGGAAAGGAAAGGAACGGGGGTGGCAGGGCGGCAAGGGCCACTCCTCCCTCCGGTCCCTGAAGACGGCCGGGCTCCTCTGCGCCCCCCCACCCCTGTTGCACCGCTCTGGCAGGGGGCTGCGCCCCTTGCCTGGAAATCCGAGGCGGGGATGCCCCGGAGGAGATGCCCTGCTCACCTTCCAGTCCGCAGCTGGAGAAATGGAGGTAGGGCGCCTGCGTCTCTGACCAGGGGGCTGCAGGGGCCACGGATGGCAAGGGACGCCCCTGCTGCTTTGCTCTAAGGGGAGAAGACCCCCGCAGCCACCTGCATTATCCGGGGTCGTTTGTCTTTCTTTGTGCTTGCAGAGGTTGGTGGGAGTTCGTTTATTCTGTGCGTTGTTCTTATATCCTGCCTCTTTCCTGCAAAAAACAAAACAAAAATGAGGTGGCTTATAGAATCCTCTTTTTATGATCCTGGCAACAACCCTGTGAGGTCGTTTCAAATGAGAAGCAATTTGCCCATTGTGCTTTGCACCTGAATTGGAATTGGTCAGACACTGTCAGATTGGAAGGAAAGCTATTGATGCAAGCTCTGAAAAAGTGTTACTGGGAGTGGTGTGGACAGAAAGGGGGAAATGGCATTAAAAATATAAATGAGAGGAGGAAAGAAACACTCTACAGGATTCAGCTGGTGGATCCTAGCTGTGGAGCGGGGGAGCAAGCCTTGTGGATTTCTCCCAAGACAGCAGATGGATACTGTCCGGAATAGGATGGTTACCTGTATAAAATATAGTTCTGTTTCAGCAACTCAGCACTTGGCTGAAAGAAGAGTTACACTTCTGGTTAACCAAGGCAGACAACATTTGTAGACAAATGTTGTGTTAGTTTAATAATTATGAAATCATTATGCAATGATTACAGCTATCTTTAAATTGCTTGGTATAAAATAAGGTAGTGTTTCTCCGCAGCATCTGAAGTCCAGTATTTTACCTCTAATTAGAGAGGGACCAGCCGTAGGGATGCTCTATCCTGACCTCAACTCAGAGGAAGGCCTTAAACCAGGTGGAAGAATGTCCACAAAACTCTCTAGTTTGTTCCAGAATCTTGGTATTTATCTCTTTACTTTTTGGGAGGAAGCTTGGTTGCTAGTTGGAGTCATCCATATTTGTTTGGGAAAAATCTTCCTGCCTTTAAAGTGTAATGATGAACTTACAGAATGATATCTTAGCTTTGCAGGACTTGGTAATGCCACCAAGCAAGCCATCTCCATATTGAGACAGAAATTAGCAACAGAGGCAGTCTTTGGCTGTGTTGGAGGCTTCCTTGGAGCACAGATCAAAGATGGACAAGCAAGACTCACCTAGCCATGCAGAAGGAACAGCTCTTAAGACCTTCATGACTAAGAATGTTATGAATTCTTGCAAAAGAACCATGCAGGTGATCCAAGCTGTGGACGGATTCAGCTCAGAGGTGCAGCATCCACGGTTCCAGCAGTTCTGCTACCAGGAGACTGAGGGCCCCCGAAGGTTTTGTAGCCAACTTCATGATTTTTGCCATCAGTGGCTGAAGCCAGACCAACACACAAAGAATCAGATTCTGGATATGGTGATCTTGGAACAGTTCTTGACAGTCCTTGCACCAGAGATGGAAAGCTGGGCCAGGGAGTGTGGAGTGGAGACCAGTTCCCAGGCGGTGGCCCTGACAGAAGGTTTCCTTCTGAGTCAGGCAGCAGAGAAGAAGCAGGAAGAGCAGCTAGTAAGACATTTCGTCCTTTTAAAATCCATGGGGGCAAGAATGTGAGGGAGGAGAATCGTAGAACAGAGGACCATCAGGTCCCACCCCTGATGAGATCATAGAGTTCTCCATCACTTGCCCCACACCTTTTGGAACTCATCCAGGCAGGGATATTCTGAGTCTCCACAGCCTTTGTTTATCTTACTTCTTTTCTAATCCTCCCCATTCTGTGTCTTGGATCCTTATTGCTATTTCAGGAGCAGGACTGGGTTGCAGAAGTGGGCACTGAATGGCCTGAGGCTCCACCAGGCAGTAGAAAGAGTCCGTGCAGAGAGCACAAACAGGAGGGTGAAGGAGGGAGCACCTTGCTGGGTAAGGATAAATGGGGCATATTAGAACTTTGTGTCTGTCCATGGATTATGCAGACCATCAGTGGGCAACTTTTGAGGGTGAAGATACTTGCCTTTAAACCTTTTCATCTATTCAAAAATGTGTCTACTTTGGGCAGCACATGAACCTGGAAAACATCACTTTCTTTTGTGGCTAAAAGCCCAAATGTGGGAAGAGATGGTTTCATAAGGTTGGACTATAAAAGTCTCTTGAGTATTCTAAATGTGTCTGGCAGATGAGACATGTCACTCTCTTGTGCATGTTGAGATGTATCATTTAATCCTTGAGACAAGCACATGCTACTGGGTTCCCACCGTCTTTCTCTCTCGCAGGAAATGGAGTGGTGCCAGGAATGCTTGCTGTGTCATTCTCCTGCTCTCATGGTGAAGGGAAAAGCACTTCTGTGCAACCACATCAGGTATGGAGTGGAGACAGATGGGGCCTCTGCCTTCTGCTCACTACTTTGTCCCAGAATAGAGCTCTCCCCTGGCTTTTATCACAGGTGCCCACTGTGGATTCTGCAAATGACACTCATGGAAGTTTAAATCTTGCAGGATTATATCCAACCCATCACCATAATTAGATCTGGTTAGTAGACTGAGTAATATATGGCAAATATTTTTCTCCTTTTTTTCTAGGGTCTGGTGGTGTTTGAAGAGGTTGCTGTGCACTTCACAGAGGAGGAACGGGCTGTGCTGGATGCGGAGCAGAGAACTCTGCACAAGCAGGTCATGGAGGAGAACGGTAGACTTCTGTCTTCCCTTGGTAAGGCTCCAGGTCTGAGAGATGGCGATATCTGCTTACAATGTATGTGTTTTAGGTAGGGGTGTGTGCATGAGCACATGCATGTTCATGTAAATGTGCAAGCTTGCTAAGGACCTGTATTTCATGTCATCCTGCCCCCTTCTAATAGGATTAATCGTTTGCGTTGCCTTCACCGTTAATACAAATCTACAAGGGGTCTAACACGATCCAGACTTAGAGAACAGAGCCATTGAAATCCATGGGATTTGTTAGCCATGATTAAGTTAAATACCAATTGTTTTGTAAGGCCATACTTGTACGTGTAACTAAACCAGGATCCAGCTGAATGAGACATCAGGACAAAATGTGAAAATGGTTCATCAGCACCAGGTCCTCAGAACACTAGGAAGCATCAAGAGCCACCATAAATATTGATACGCGCTTTAATTACTATGGTATCCTGGAAGCCTGTTCCTTGAAAGTAGATGAGGAGTGGGCCTCGCATTGCAATGGTGCCATGACTGAGGAGTCTTGCCCTGCATCCTTCACACGGAGCAGGCATGCAGAATGTGGAGTCGTTATGGCTTGTGTGGGAGAAAACAATCCTTCGTGTATCTGAAACACTGAGAATTTAAGAATTTAATGCACAATACACAACAGCCGAATCAGTATGTGTACTGCTGGAATTGTTGTTGGGAGGGTGGCAATGAAATTGCGAGCGTTACAAGACATGACCCACCTGGAGAAAACGCTGAAATGCCTCCTCACAACTGTCTGGGTGGAACTCCTCTCTAAACACACAGCACCTCTGTCCATGCGGGACAAAGATTGTTTGCACTAGGGTTGTGTCAGAGACACTAGCACAAGCTCCCTGAACCTTATACTGCAAGGTTGTTTTGGCCTACGGTTCCCATCAGCCCCAGCCACCATGCCAATGTTGATGGGAAATGGGAAGCATTCAGAGAGACCCACACTGGGGAAGGTTGTGCACATTCTTTAAATTAAGGACTTGTTCAATGGGAAGTGGGATGGAATCCCAGTAGACCTCCACAGCGGTCCATCCTACCAGGCTAAGAAGTAAGAAAGACTTGCCTTCTTCCCTCTTTCCCTGATTTTTGTCTGCCTGTTTCACTTTCCTTGATGTATTCGAGTTGACTGATCTGGGATTAGCCAGTTTGTGATTGCTAGTTTATGGCCTTCACAGTGCTGCTCTGGGCTAGGAGAAGTTAGAGAGGAGAGAAGGGCAGTCACACATACCAGAACTCATTTCTCCCTCTCTCTCTCTCTGCCCTTGTCACTTGAGTCTGTCCTGATCTCCTTCATGGACAACCAGAAAGTGGAATCTGACTTTCCTACATCTAACTCCAAACATTTAATTGGCCATGGTCACTACAAATGTGGCCTAGAAGTGCTAGTTTACACATGAGCATGTAATGAAAGCGTGGGAAGAGCTCTCTTCCAACAGCTGTGGGCGGTTCATGAATGGTGAGCCGTGTGGTTAGGGCTCTCATTCATCTTCTCTACCATACCAGTCAGGGTTCCTCAGGCCATTGAATATGAAGTCAGATCTGCATCTCAGCAAAGTTCTTTCTCTTTTTTCTCTTCTTAACCACAGGCATTAATAGAGGTTGTTTAATGACTTACACATGCATGTTTAGGTCAGGCACTTATCAGTTTCCTCTCTTCATTCCAGAAGATGACCTGTGGGAAATGGATAAGAGGGGAGAACCTCATGGAATGTCACTAAACAGAGACAGAGGTGACAAGAAGGAAGAGCTGAGAAGGAAAACTGAAGGAAACCCAATGGATAAGAGTAAATGCCCTGTTTTTCAGGGCAGTGACAAACATGAACTAGCAATCCAAGAAAAAATAGAAAAAAGAAGTGAACAGAATAAGTGCTGTGTATGTCAGAAAAGTTTCACTCATAAATCAAACCTTAAAACTCATCTCAAAATTCACACAGGGGAAAAACCATATAAGTGTTTGGACTGTGGAAAAAGCTTCAGTGTAAGGGCAAACTTCACATACCATCAAAAAACTCACACAGGAGAGAAACCATATACATGCTTGGACTGTGGGAGATGCTTTAGTGTAAGCAGAAACCTCAGTAAGCATCAACTAGTCCACAAAACAGAGAAGCCATACAAGTGCTTGGAGTGTGGAAAGAGCTACAGTTCAAGCACAAGTCTCATGTACCATCAACGAACCCACACAGGAGAGAAACCCTATAAATGCCTGCAGTGTGGAAAGAGCTATAGTATAAGGAAGAGCCTCACATACCATCAAAGAACTCATACTGGGGAAAAACCATATAAATGCTTGGACTGTGGAAAGTGCTTCAGTAGAAGTACAAACCTTACTTGTCATCAAAGAATTCACACAGGGGAGAAGCCATATAAATGCTTGCAGTGTGGACGGAACTTCAGCAGAAGCACAAACCTAACTTGTCATCAAAGAATCCACACAGGGGACAAACCGTATAAATGTCTGGATTGTGGAAAGGCCTTCAGTAGAAGCACAAGCCTCACGTACCATCAGAGAATGCACACAGGGGAGAGACCGTACAAGTGCTCAGAGTGTGGAAAGAGCTTCACTTTGGGCACAAGCCTCACGTATCATCAAAATACTCACACTTGGAAGAAACTATATAAATTCTTGTAATGCTGGAGCAGCCCCAGTGAGAGCTCAGACCTCATTTTTCATAGATACTACATAAATGCTTCGGCTGTGGGAAGATGTCAAAGAACTCACATGGGTGAGAAGTCATATAAATGCCTGGAGTGTGGGAAGAGCTTCAGTAGAAGCACAAGTCTCACTAAGCATCAGTGAACTCTCACGAGGAGGAACCTTAGAAGCTGTTGAAGCATTGAATGAAATTCACTCGCAATCCAACCAATGTTCCTCATTGGAGTCTGAAGTGGGGAAATGAATGCTACACAGCCATATTAATGCATTGTAGAGAAGAAAGAAGTTTAAATGCTGTTTGATTTCTTTTAATCTAACATTTCTACCATGTGAGAAATAATGACAGAGTAGATTGTTGGCATTCCAGGACATGGATAGGCATAACAACACTCCAGTCCTCTGTCCTGCCTGCCAGCTAGGTTGAGCCTGCCAAGTTCTTACTTCACTCTTAGTGAAATCCAGGGCTGTAACTCCATGACAAAATTAATCGTGCCTCTGTATGTGCTCCTGCCTGGTGTTAGGGGAACATCTTGTGTGGAGCAGAAACAGCAGGACTATAATAGGCTGCCCATACAGGGCAATAGAACTCCGAAGGACAGACAGCAGGCCAGCAGTATTTGCCATAAGCTGCTGTTTGTACGGTCCTGCATGCTAACCTTCTTTCCCAGCCTCTTAGTGCTGGATTTCCCCATGAACATGAGTGTGTGGCCTGATCCTGTCCACCTTGATTTCTCAGCAGCAGGGCTGGAAACAGTTCTCAGGAGCACTTGATCTCTTTCACAGGAAGGTGACCCTCATCTAGAAAAAGCCACTGCCTGTCTCTTCTGTGTCGGCGGCTCTTGCCAGCCACCTGCCCTTTCACCTGCTTTGAGATCAGCTCCTGTATAGAATGCTCATCTTCATTACCCACTTCATCCCTCTAAGCCTGAAGTGAAGCCCTGCAGGCTTGACTTCACCAAATGCATGAAGTTCTGTCTGTCATTGGCATGGGAAAAGGGTGAAGGAAGTGCAGGCAGGACCATGGCAGTTATGATATAATGGGACAAATTTACAAAGCAGTGTTGCTAATAAAAAATATTCTGGTTTTGGTAAGCTAATTAGTGCCTGAAATGGTAGGAAAAAACCATTGTGATTCAGGCAATAGTTGATAGAATTCATGGAAGGGAATGCAAAACACAAAAGGAGGTTGCTTTGTGCTGACAGCTCTATCTCCCTGCATGGACAGGATTCAGTTGAAATATCAGGTACAAGCATATTTACATTCAAAGTCCACCTGTGCAAGTCAGCAGCCGGAGAGAAGCTTTTAAGTGACGTATTTGAAATCCTAAGTGAAGGCTGAACACCCTTTGTCATAATCATTTTCCACCTTGGTTTCCTCCTAGGGTGGTTCTGCCCCAGTCAAAATTTGGATTTTATACTCCTTAGAATGCATACTTGTGTAATGCACTTTTATTACTCTTTACTGCATATTATGCACTGATTACACTACATACAAATCACAATAATGTATTGTAATGATGAATTAGATTCCTGTAAGAGATGTAGCTGCTTTGAGCTTCAATTGAGTCAGGAGAAACAAATTTAGCTGAGAGGCAATTTTGCCACTCTTAAAAAAGTTCAAAGGGGACTGGTCAGTTTCACCTAAAAGGTGCTTCAGGAGGCAGCTTTGATTGCACGTGTTCTTGCCTCAAACCTGCGTATTTTGTGCATGTGTGGCCAACTCAAATGTCAGCATAAATCCTTTGCCATCCTTTTTTGTTTCCCATTGTTTTCTCATTCTTTCCCCAACCTGCTCAAAATTTTTGTAGGCAGCTAAAAGCAGTGGAATTTTGATTGAATGGTTTTAGAAATCATTCTTCTGGAGTCAGGGATAAAAATCCCTGGACAGCAGGAGAAAAGCTGCCCCATCTCCCTGTGGCACAGAAAGTCCGAGAACGACTGTTGAGGAGAGGTGTTCGAACGAAGGCTTGCACTGCGGCTTGGATGCCATTTTCTCTGTTTCCTCCAGAAAATGGTTCAACTTGCTGCACCTCTAAATTCGTTGGTTCTTACTAAGGAATCTTCCAGGGCGGATTCCCTTTTCAGAGGGGCCAAAAAGGAAGGTGCGTTTGCTGCATAAAGATCCCAAAAATCTACATTGGGTGAATACCTTTATTAAGGCAACCAAAAGTGTATAAATACGGTGCAAACTTTTGACTTCTCCAGAAGCATTCAGCCACATGGTAAACGATGCAAAAGTGGGCGACGGGGCGATTAAAATGGAATGTGGGAGGAGGCTGCAGGCGCTCAAGTCGGGCTTCCGCATATGCTGGAACGGCTTCTGGTTGGACCAAAGGGGCCGCTGGGATGAAGAAAGCTGATGGACAAGTCCCCATTTTTGGAAATACAAATTCCAGCTGGCGTCCAGATGCTTCCCCCCTCCGATGCAACGTGAGGATTCCTTGGTAGGCAGAAAACAGAAAGAGGACGAATGAGCAGCTGGGCGGTTTCTGTGTTACCGCGGGGGGAGATGATTTCAGATTCTGGCATTTTTGCTACGGCCAACATGGCCAGCTTTGCTTTCTGCTTAAAAGAAACGTGCAGCCCTCACTTCTGGTTCTGGTTGGACAGCTGCCACGTGCCTCCTGTTTGGTTCCCTCCGCACCGCTGCTGTCACTTAGGAACCTGAAGCATTGGGGCAAGCGGGACGTTTCCTCTTCACGAGCAGAGAGGAGTTCTCTTGAGCAGGAAAAAACAAGTGTAGGATTTCCTACTGCTTGGGCGGGAGACCAATAATTTAAAACTCGGTCGGAGCTCTCAGGGCTAGCCCCTTCCTAGCAGGAAAAGTCACAGAGAAACCAAACTATTCCGAGGAGAGGCCCAGCCTTCCTAGGGTTAAATGCACCGAGCTCGATTCCTAGAAAGGAAGGTGCTTTGGACCGGAAGAAGCGCGGTTCGGCCATCACAAATGCACCCGCCCCCGGCTCCTTCCTGCCCCGCCTTCTCCGCCGGGGGAAAGTGGTGCGCGCTACCTCCCTCCCTCCCAGCTCGCCGTCGCCGCCTCCCTCCCGGGATTCGGTGAGTCCCCGTCCCCCCCGCTGCGCGCACTTGGGCGAAGGGCAGTCCGCGGGCTGGGGGGGGGGGGCGCCGAGGGGCCGGGCGCGCGCGCGCGGGCGAGGCAGATGCAGGCTCAGCCGCCAGCCCGCGAAGGGAGCGGGGCGGCGGGTGGGCTCCGCTGAGCGTGGGAGAGGGCGGGCGGACCCTGCTCGCGCGTCAGCCGGCGGGGAGGCAGAGCGCTCGGCCCCGCAGGAGCCGCCCCGGGGACGCCTCCGCTGCCCCTGCGCCGCGAGGAGGGCCCCCGGCGGGCCCTGCGTGTGAGCGCGCGTGGAGCGGGGCGCGCGGGTCCCTGGCCCCTTTCCGCATGCCACGCGAGGCTGCTGGCAGGCGCCCTCGCCCGCCGCTCCCCGCAACAGCCCCGGGCGGGCGGGCCCTCGAGCGCTGGCCGCAGCATTGCTGGCTTGACGGCGAGTGGGGACCCGGACGGCCAGGCAGATGCGCAGCCCGAGTGCGCCGCCCCGTGCATCGCCGAGTTGCTGCTGCTGCTGCGGTTCTCCTCCAGAAGAGGATGCAGGAGGGAAGGCGCGTCGGGGTGGCAGATGCACGGGGCAGATGCACGGAGAAATGCTGCTTTGGTTTACATTTACATTAAATAGTACTGTGTTTAAAATAAGGAAAGGGGCTAATAGCTTAATGGAAAAAATGTCATTAACATTTCGTTAGGCATGTTACATGACTTTATAGAGGTAGCAGGACAAGGTCCTAAGTCTGTTAAGATTGGGAGCAGAATGCATAGCTTCTGCTGCTGTCTTCCCTCAAAAGCCAGTGGTGTAAACATTAAAAACCTGCTATTTCCCGTATATGGTGGGATTGCCCATCATGTCAACGTTTACATGATACCCAGATGCAAAATCACTCTGTTAAAATAATTGAAAGGAAGAAGGTCATATTAAAATATAAACTAATATTGATAGCAACAAGAATATTGTAACGCAATCTTATACATGCCAGTTCAGTGAGTCCAGCTGTACATCTGGTGTCGCTGGATGAAGAACTGAAAAAGACGACCTGGAAAATGAAGGAGGGAGAAGATGAATTTCATATGGTATGGAATTTCATATGGTATGGAGACTATGGTAATATCTCCATACTAGCTGAAGTACCTTGAATTTATACATTATCAGGTGTACCCTAAATACAAATATTTGTGACTGAGTTAATCTGCTAAATTAAGTCTGTAATTAAGTTTGGTAAGAAAATCAATTTTATTAGAATTCAGATCAGTGTTGATCAATGATGTCATAGATGTTAAGAATTATTTTTAGTAGATTTCTTACAATGTGAACATGTAATCAGCTAAAATTTCTTTAATCAAGTGAAAGCCATTCACATTTGTTTGGGGAAAATCTTCTTGCCCTAACACTGCAATAATACATTTGCATAATGATGTCTTGGCTTAGATCCACCTTTCTCTTCATCAGATAGACAAAAGCAATCCTTTGGCCCTGCCTGAGTATCCCTTGGAGCATAGATCAAAGATGGATGAACGAGACTCAGCAGGCCCTGCAGCAGGACGTGGTCCTGAGTCTATTAAGATTGGGAGCAGTGGAGAATCCTGGGAGAAAACAGTGCAGAAGATCCTTGGAGCAGACACCATCCGCCCAGAAGTGCAGCGCCAGTGCTTCCGGCAGTTCCGCTACCAAGACGCCAAGGGCCCCCGAGAGGTTTGTAGGAAACTCCAGGATCTTTGCCATCAGTGGCTCAAGCCAGAGCAACACACAAAGCATCAGATTCTGGACTTGGTGATCCTGGAGCAGTTCCTGATGATCCTTCCAGCAGAGATGGAGAAGTGGGTGAGGGAATGCGGAGCTGAGACCAGTTCACAGGCAGTTGCTCTAGCAGAAATTTTTCTTTTGACCCAAGCAGAAGACAAGAAGCAAGGAGAACAGCAGGTATGTTCATCCAGATAGTTCCAAAGGCTGAGGATGTGAGAGAGGATATCCCAAATCTCTCCAATGATCACCCTAGATCAGTGATGGCAAACCTTTTAGAGACCGAGTGCCCAAACTGCAACCTAAAACCCACTTCTTTACCGCAGTGCCAACACTGCAATAAAATCTGAAAACTGAGGTTTTAGTTTAGAAAATACAACTCACAGCCAGTCCAAGCAAATACATATATCCTTGGCAGCGCACCGACCGGCCATGCAAAAGCTCAGATGACTCGCAGGTAATGAGTCATGGCTCGTGACATCATTGCCTGGCGCTGCTGCTCCTTTCCGAGCATGCGCATGGCCTCTGTGTGTGCTGTTATCCGATGCTCGGCTGCTGGGGCGATGCTTGTGGGACTTGGCTCGCGTGCCGATGCAGAGGGCCCTGCATGCCCACTGTGGCACATGTGCCATAGGTTCATCATCACTGCCCTAAGCCTACCCTGGTGCACTCCCCTAACCCTAATGTAAGGGTAAAATACCATTGAAAGGGTCAGTTCTGAAAAAGCCTTCCTTGAGTAGCTTTTTCTGCACAGCTCATCATTTCTGCCCATTCTAAACACATTCCAACCATCAGACTCATGCCAGGACACCTCGTTTTCCTAACCCTAACCCAGTGATGGTGAACCTTTTAGAGACTGAGTGCCCAAACTGCAACCCAAAACCCACTTCTTTATCACAAAGTGTCAACGCTTCAATAAAACCTGAAAACTGAGGTTTTAGTTTAGAAAAAACAACTCAAAGCCAGTCCAAGTACCCTTGGCAGTGCACTGACCAGCCATGCGAAAGCTCAAATGAGTCACGGTTAATGAGTCATGGCTCGTGATGTCATTGCCTCGCACCGCTACTCCTTTCTGAGTATGCGCATGGCCATTATGTGTGCTGTTATCTGATGTTCGGCTGCTGGGGTGATGCTGGGGCGACTTGGCTCGCATGCCAACAGAGAGGGCTCTGCATGCCTGCTGTGGCACGCATGCCATAGGTTCACCACCATTGCCCTAGATGTACTGTAAATAATGCTAGAAGTGGTATCCCATATCCTTTAATCTCTTTCATTCTTTTTCTAATTCTTCTCCCTATTCCTTGTCTTGGGTCCTTACTGCTGTCTTAGGAGCAGGGCCTGTTTGCGGAAGGAGGCACTAAATTGCCTGTGGCAGAGAAAGCTTCATCAGGCACTGGAAAGAGTCCCCTTCGGAAAGGGGTGAAGCAGGAGGGTGCTGCCTCACCAGGTAAGGATTAATAACGCTCATTCCAAATTGATCTCTCTTCTTCTGTTGACTCCTGCAAGACATCAGCTGATATTTCTGGGGAGAGGACCCCTGCCTCCAGTCCTTTTCTACAATTCAAAAACGTGCTTGCTTTCAGTATGAGGACTGTATACACAGAAAGCAATGCTTTGTTTTCTGACCAAGAGCCCCAGTGGGGCTAGATGTGTTTTCACACAGGCAAAATATAAAATGGCCATCAGCCCCCAAAATGCTTGCAATGACTAAAGGGCACTTCAGCCGAAGAGCAGGCTTGAATGCAGCCAGTCCATCAACAAAGGGTTTGTTTTGAAATGCCGTTTTGTCCTTAGAGATGCATTGCTGTTGTCTCTCACCAGGCAATGAAACAATGTCAGCAACACCTCTTCTTAGCGGTGGAGGGGAAACAAGTGCCATACAAGCAGACCAGGTAGGAGAAAGGATCACCGGGGAGACTGGTGGGAGCCCTGCGGGGCTCCTGGCCTCTGCTCAACCCCTTTGACATGAATCTCTCTCCTCCTCTTGCCTCTCTCAAAGGTACTTGCCAGGAAGGCTGAATGCTGTTTGTGAGGTTTAATTCCATCACCCTAATTTACTTCATTTCTGTAGTGCCCAATAGTTGAAGCTCTCTGAGTGGTTTCCAGCAGTACGTAAAAACAAGATAGTACAGGAAAAGTGCCACGGAATCTTAAAAAAGCAGCATTAAAAATTACAAACTGCTAAAAACATAGTGAAGAATAACCACTTGCTCCTTAACAAGTCTTTCAGATTCTGCTTGTAGATCATTGTTATAGTATCTATGTTGTAGGATTTTTCCTTCTTTTATTCAGAGTGTGGTGACTGCTGAGGGTGGAGCTGTTCAGGCGCCTGAAAAGGAGAAAGCTCTCCTGGATTCTGACCAGAAAGCTGTGCACAGACCACTGACAGGGGAAAAATGTGACTTTCCAGCCTCGCTCGGTAAGGCTCCCCCTTTTCCTTTTTGATGATGATTCCTGTTTACTGCTGGAAAAATAGACATTCTGTTGATTTCCTCTAATGTATTACCTCAAGTACTTTTCTTTTGGTATAGCAACATTTACCTGTTTTTCATTAAATAATTTCACAAAATGAAATGCCTTTCCATTTCACAAAAATCCACAAGAGGGCAAAGAAAGATCTCTATCTGTACAAAAACTTACAAGTGCAATATAATGAAAATAACAATTTATCAATTGGTATTGAGGAGTGGGAAAACCAGGAATCATTAAGAGCTGCAATAAATTCAGAAAGAACCTGGACAGCCAACTGAGTGGGATGGTGCAACGTGGTGTCTTGCAACAGCAGGGGGCTGGACCCGATGGCCTTCATGGCCCCTTCCAGCTCTACTATCCCATGAGTCTATGATTCTGCGTAGAAGTGCAAGACCGGTGGTATCCCGGTTGCCTGAAGAAACAGCACTACGGTAACCTTTCACCCAAGGTAAGGAGGTGCGCATCAGTGGCACTGCTGCAGAAAAGGCTTGCCACACAGCCTTGGACAGTTCAGACATCCTGCCTGGCTGCTGAAGGAAGATCTGAATATGTTAATAGACAAACTGGGCCTGCTCCCATGGACTCTGAGGCTGCACTGCCATGCAGCTGTGCATTTCATCTACTACGATCTCCAACACAGAGTTAGTGCTGAAAATCCGTGTGTGGTTGGACTTGTCTGATACAGCAGGCCTAGCTGCCTGGATTGCTAAAATCAATTTTATTTGTTTAGAATAGTTCTACACTGTCTTTCTGCCCTATGCAAAGGCAGCAGATGATAAGTAAGAATGTGCACAAAATAACACATGAAAAGATTGTTTCAAAAGTCATTTGTGACTTCTAAGAAGCCTCTGGGGGAGCAGTATTGGGAAGCGTCCATTCTGCAGGCCTGGGGTGCTGGTGGTGTAGCAGTTGCAACTGCTCTTTGAAACTTTCGTGGAGGATTGTACCGAATTATCAAGGCCAGGTCCCATGAAATACTTTAGCTGTAGGGAGGATGGGACATCCCATGGACAGCTGGACAGTCCATAGCTGCTGGCTCTTCCTGATTGCAGGAGGGCCTAATGAAGGCTGTAAGGGCTGGTGGAAAATGTCCCCTCCCAAGCATTTAGACATTGATGGTGTGACAAACTGTACCCACCCGCATCCCTTTTACGGAATGATCCTTGAACAAAGAGATCAGGCCTGGCTGGAACACAGCTGTCTCCTAAATTTGCATCTTTACCTTATAGACTGACTCCCCAGCTTCACCTTCTGCATAACCCAGCTTATATAAAAGAACTGCAGCAGAAATCACCCTGAGCATCTATGACCAGATCCTCCCAGGCTATGGATTGGTCAGTTTGTATTTCCGTAGTTGGGAATTCTTCAGTTCCATAGAAATTCTCTATATTGCATCAGTTGTCAGTTAATGCCTGCCAAAGCCTGTCGAGTGCATGGTAAGAACCCACTTCCTAGGTCTTCTCCATGTTTCTTTTATGCAGCAGTTAGTTGAAGTTGTTCAGAGATTTGAGGGACCATTTCTGACTCGGGCTTTTACTACTTTATTTTCTTCATTGCAGAAAGTAGTAAGTGGGAAATGGAAAACAAGGGAGAGCTACATGGCATGTCACCAGAAGGTAACAGATACAAAAAGAGGCAACAGCAGAGAAGGAAAACTGAACCGGTCCGGAAGAGGGGGAATGACTCTTCTGTTCTCCAGGGCAGTGACTCCCAAGAAAGTGCAATTCCAGAAAGAATAGGCAAAATAAGTAAAACTGGTAAGCACTGTCTGTGCTGGAAAATTTCCAGCCCTAAATCTTGATGTGAATAGAAAATCCACAGACGGGCGAACCGTAGAAAAGTTTGGAGTGAGCAGAGTTTTCACCAGAGTGCTGACCTTATTAACCAAGCAACCCACATGGGGGAGCAGCTGGGTTAGTGCCGTTTCCTCCAACTTGGTACCCTCCATATGGGTTGGACTTCAACTCCCAGCATTCACCAACGAGCATACTGCACGCAGAAACATTCCATAGCACCCCAAAGATGTTTGTCCGGCACCCTCTCTTGATTCTTTCTGGCCCCAGGCCAAGACCTTGTTGTTACACTATATCCTGTAACCTGCCCAGTGAGCCATTTCGGCTAAAGGGAGGGGGCAGAGATCAAATAAATCGATGCAAGCACCTGTGAGGTTTTCGGCTCTCTTTTCCACTACACCCTTCCACTTCATCACACCATTTCAAAAAGTGCATAACTCCCCCTCTTGCCTTTTCTTCCTGTGAGAGTTCTTTCTGCTAGGCAGCCAAAACTCCCCATGCAAAGACCAGCAAATCCCGGCCACTGGGATGGGAGTTGCCACCTTCTCAGGACACAATCCCTGCCTGCCTGCCTGCCTGCCTGCCTGCCTGCCTGGTGGTGGGGGGAAAGAGTGCATGCTCACTGGGAACTTGACCAAGTCCCAGATGCACAGCATAATTAAGTCAGTTTTAAGCACAAGTTTCCCCGGTGTGTTCTTGTTACTGATTTTGAACTGTTTGTTTTTCTACGCAGTAGATGTCGTTTTGGTTTTGCTTACCTACTACCTTTGCTGTTTTCTGTGGGTTTGTTTTGGTTGTACATAAATAGGTCCAGTACAAATGATCTCTGCTTGTAGTTCTTAAATAAGAAGGGGCTTTTTATGAGTAAAACTGATTTTCTGTTTTCCTTTCTGTGTGCAGTTGTCAGAATTAGTGAGCCAGCCCGTAAAAGACAAAGGACTTACCTTTTCCACAAAGAATGGGAAGAGAGGTATTGTTTTATGGATGTGAATGGCAAATCTGTATGTTTGATATGTTCTTCAACTGTGGCAGTTGCAAAGAAACACAATGTCCAAAGACATTTTGAGAGAAATCACAGTACTTTTGCCAAGAACTATCCACTTGATTCTGAGCTTCGAAAAATGAAGGTTAATGAAATGAAATCTAAATTTGCAGTACAATTGTCTGGCTTTACCAAGCCTGTGGTACAATCCAAGAATACAACAATTGCATCTTTTAAAATTGCAAGCTTGCTTGTAAAGAGAAACAAACCGTTTGAGGATGGGGAACTGTTGAAAGAGGTGTTTTTGACTGCGAGTGATGCCATTTTTGAAGGTTTTCCCAATAAAAAAGAAATCATGGTGGCAATTCAAAAGTTGCAATTGTCTGGAAACACAATTACCAGAAGAATTCAGTGCATTTCAAGTGACTTGGAGAATCAACTGCAGAGCGATTTACAGAAATGTCTTTGGTTTTCACTTCAGCTTGATGAATCCACTGACATGACAGACACTTCCCAGCTGGCAATCATAGTGAGAATGGTTTTTAGTGATCTTTCTGTGAAAGAAGAGCTGCTCAAAATACTGTCTCTGAAAGGAAAAACAAGGGGTGAGGATATATTTCAGACTTTTAAAAACTATGTTACAGAAATAAACTTGCCTCTTCACAAGCTCTCATCCATCACCACTGATGGGGCGCCAGCAATGGTAGGTTGCATTGATGGGTTCATTGCCCATTGCCAGAAAGATGAATCTTTTCCAAAGTTTGTTTCATATCACTGCATCATTCACCAAGAAGCATTGTGTGCTAAAGTACTACAGTTTAAGCATGTCATGGATGTTGTTACAAAAATAATCAACTCCATCCGTGCAGTCTCCTTGCAACACAGGCTTTTTAAGGCACTTTTGAAGGATGTTGATGCTGAGTACAATGATCTCATTTTGCACACTGAAGTTAGGTGGCTGAGTAAAGGAAAGGTTCTGGCCAGATTTTTAATCCTGATAGAAGAAATAAAGTCGTTTTTAAAGTCTAAAGATCAGCATGTTGAACAACTTTATGACAGGTTCTGGTTGGTGGATTTAGCTTTCCTTGCTGATCTGATGCAAGAACTAAACAGTTTGAATATTGAGCTGCATAGAAACAATAAGCATATTTCTGGGATGATTGCTTCAGTCAACTCTTTCAAAAGTAAACTGAGGTTGTGGAAGTCACACTTACAGATTAAGTCACTTCTTCCGTTCCCTTCAATGAGGCAAGTTATTGGCGAGAGTGATTTTAACAACCTCCCGTTTGTGAGCCACCTTGAAACTCTTGAAGAGCAATTCCATGCTCGATTTCAGCAGTTCACTGACATTGAACCAGTTGTGTCCTTCTTTGAAAACCCTTTCAGCCCAATAGATGTCACGGAGACAGCAGTGTCCATTGGGGAACTCTGCCAGACTGGAGTAGAAGAGATAGAACTGGAGATTATAGAGCTTCAAAATGATTTGGTTTTAAAATCAAATTCAGCTCAGGACAATTTTTGGAATCTGGTTGATTCACAGAAGTTTCCTTTGTTGAGAAAGACTGCCGCAAAGATAAAGTCTTATTTTGGATCGACTTATCAATGTGAGTCGGTCTTCTCCACAAGGAGATTTATCAAATCAAAGAACAGAACACGAATGACCGATAAGCATCTAGATGAGTGTTTGCGAGTTGCAATTTCATCATATACCCCCAACTATGGCAAACTGACCGATGGCATGCAGTGCCAAGCATCACACTAGTCGGGGCTATGCTGCTAGTGGGGACTGGGCAGGCATCAGGTACCCAGAATCTCTTTGGGTTTTCACTAGAACTCCCAGGTGCAACATTGGAGCCAGGTGCAGAGGGCAACTCAGGAAGGTGGACATATTCTGGCCAGGCATGTGTTTTCAGTACCATACCTGGATCTTGTGCATGATCCTGTTTCCTCCCAAGCTTTCTTGGTTTCAGTGGTATAATTTAGGAGAGGGAAAGGCCTTTTGTTTAAGGATTGGCAGCTGGAAATCCCAGCTGCTCTACTGCAAATCATCTGCAAATTTACCAATAGATACCAGTTCACCTTGGGTCTGCTCTGGTGTAAGTTAGGTGCTGTGTGGCCACTTTGCACTAATCATTAGCTTAAATAGGGCCATCTTCACCTTGGCAAATTTCTGTTGTTTTCTATTTTGTATTCTATAAATGTAGTAAAATTACTAGTGTTAAATATATCCTTTTATTTGCAACTATGAATATATGTTTATGTAACAACAGTCCAGAATAATTTTGTATTGTTTTATGTCTCATTACTTTCACTGGAGCAGTTTTTACTATGCAAATAAATAAATGCTCTTTCATATATGGAACCTCCTGACATTTTGTGACTCGCTTCCTGCTTGTGACCAGGCATGCCCTTTACGGCAGCTGTTTCATGGCAACACAACACCTGCTAAACATACTGAATGTACCCACAGGTCCAGGGAGGTTTGGGGTCTCTGGCTTCGCGTGTGGAATGTGAGTCCCAGTAAACATTCAGTAGTTCACATGAGGGCAAAGCCATATCAAAGCTTGGGTATCGGAGTTCTTTGTTTGTAAACAGGTATCTGCATGCAGGGCGTGTGTGGCAGGGGAGGAAATATGCATGTGTGAGTCTTAGTCTTGCTGCCAGTTACCCACTCATTTCTGCAGCCCTTGGAGAATTCTGCTCCCTTAGACTGCCTCTCCCAACAAAATTATTATATAAATGAATAGTGGTGAGCAAGTTGCTAGGAGCTCTCGTTGCTTTGGAACGCGGAAATCAAGTCTGGCAGTTCCCTAGTGGACTTCGGGACTGGCTCTAAATGCTAAACAGAAGTTTACAGTCCTGAATAGCCACTGAGCTGCATAGGGAAGGAGGGGGCAGTTGTTCTTGGCTCACACGGAGCTGGGCCCTGAATCACAGAATGAAGGGGAGGAGGTGGAGGGACTTGGGCATGTGGGGGTCAAGACTTTCAGAGGGAAGAAGAGGCACAAGAATAGCCAAGATGCCCAGGTGTTAGGTAAGGGCATGGGGGAGGAAAGAGATGTTTTAAAAAGGAAAGCCAGCTCAGGCTTTCATTGCCTGCTTCCTCCTAGGCTTGCCATGTGAGGAAAAGTCCGAGAACCCAGCAGGGGGCAAAGAGCTGCCTGCGCGCTGCATGGATGCGACTCTGGGACCCCCAGAGAGCGGGGGTGGGGGGTGCTTGGCATTCTAAGGGTTAAACGATCCGAGCGGGATTCCTAGAGGGGAAGGAAATGTGGGCCGGAAGGGGACCAGGTGTCTCCCGTAGCAACTGCCCCTCTCCGCAAAGCCCTTTCCTGTCTGACACTGCGGGTAGAGGAGGGTGGCCTTTGTGTCCCTAGGCGCGGTACGGGTGGCCCCTTCTGAGCCCCAGTGAGTGTCCCTTCTGCAAGGGGGGTTGGGGGAGTCCTCCTGGGGCACGAGGATCCATGGGGAGGAGCGGCGGGAGTGGGAAGACCCCCGGGGGATGCCAGGTCCCGGGGGGAGGGGCCAGGAGCAGGGAAGGGCCGATTTAGCTCCAGGCGAGCTGGCTGTGCGCAGACCCCGCGCCCCCAGCCAGGGAGCGGCGGCCTCCTTGGAAATGCGGCATATTTGCGTGTCGGCGGTAACTCTGGAACGATAATGGCAATCAGGAGTGTTTCATACTTCCGTTTTGCAGCCAGAATCAGTGCCTCCCATAATCGGGCACTGCCTTCTCCTTTCCCCGTTTCCTCTAGGCTCGGTTGCAACCCGTGCTCGGGGGACGTCAAGGAGGACTGCGACCTATTAAAAAACCTATCTCAAAAGAAGTGTGATAGAGGAAAAAGAGGAGAAGGAAAACGAATCAAAATCTCTTCCTTAGTCAACAGAGGCTAATTGCTGGGGTGTGTTGCGGGGGGGGGGGGCATAAACCATGTGGTCTCCTTGGAAGTAACAGCCAGCCACTGCTGAGAACTGGAGTCTAGCCTATATGAACTTTTGATAGGTTGCAGCAAGGCAGTCCTTAGTTGTGAGAAGAGTGCAACTTTTGTGTGTAGGATAGTATAGCAAATGTCAGGTATGGTTGAGAAATATCACTTGGTTTTAACTTTAAGCAATGAAAGCATGTCTAACATTTTAAATGTAGTTCTTATCTCCCCATGAATACAGCAAGTTGGTGGGTAAATCAGCAGAGGCAGTGATTCTTTGTTGTTGTCTGATGGTTTGTGGGATCATTGGGGTTCCTGCTTCTGAGGTCAACAACAGCACTCAACTCCAGTCTTCCTCTCCTGCCCCCTCGCAGCTGGTGCAAAAAGAGCTGCACTTGCTTTTCTCCAAGCTTGGGAAAACAACCTTGAGACTGAAAGGGGAGCAGCCAAGATCTGAGCTACCTGGAAGCCACTCTAGCTTCCTTCCCTTACCTTATGAGGTACCCCAGCTAGACAGGTAAAAACTCCCATCTAGTGAAAATGCAGAGAAGGCAGGGAGACAAACATGACCACCTCCACTGCTCTCACTAGGTAAAGATGCCCAGAAAATTCCAAGTTCAGGGGCTTATGAGCATCCCCGTACTATTGTGCTCAAATTCTTTTATCAAACAGCAACCTTAATTTGAATTAGTTTCAAAGTGGTTCAGGGTAAGTGATTCTTAAGATGAACATGGTAGCAGAAGGAGTCAAGGAGAGGAGGTATTCAAGGAAAGGTACTGAAGGAGGAAAGAGACGAAGAATACATGGGCTAAAAAAAATGGGGTATTCATGGAGGCAGAGAATTGATTATGAAGAGATGATGGGGTGGGGGAATACTGCATTTTCACCTCTTCATCCAGATTAAAGGTTTAAATCTATTGGCCTCAGATGAAGGACAACTTCCTTGCAACCTGTAGGTCATATTAGAGTCCTGACATTCACTACTTTTCAGTTTGGGAGGAGACTTGGTTGCTAGCTAGAGTAGCCACACTGACTCTGGGAAAATCTTATTGCTTTGACATTAGTCTCATGCACTCATGGAATGATGCATTTGCTTTTCAGGACTTGGTAGCCCCTGAACTAGATAGTTAGACTATCTTCTCCTTGAGGCAGGAATCAGTCTTCTGGCCCTGTTGAAGGCACCAATCAGAGATGCATGAACACGACTCAGCCAGCCCTGATCCAAGAAGAGGCACAGAAATCATCAAGACTGAGCACAGTGCAGAGTTTTTCAGAAGAACCAGGCAAAAGATTCTGGGTGAGACCACTGTCAGCTCAGACCTGCAGCATCCGTGCTTCCGACAGTTTCGCTACCAGGGTGCTGAGGGCCCCCGTGGAATTTGCAACCAACTCTATGATCTTTGCTGTCAGTGGCTAAAGCCAGAAGAACACACAAAGAATCAGATACTGGACTTGGTGACCCTGGAGCAGTTCCTGATGGTCCTTCCACCAGAGATAGAAAACTGGGTTAAGGAGTGTGGAGCAGAGACCAGTTCACAAGCAGTGGCTCTGGCAGAAGGTTTCCTCCTGAGTAAGGCAGAGGATAAGAAAAAGGGAACGCAGCAGGTGAGAGCACTTCGTTTTGGTAGTTGCAAGGGCCCACAAAATTGAGGGAGGCTATCCTAAAATTGTGTACAAATTGCCCAGTTCTTTCTGGAAATTATCCAAAGATAGATATTACAAACCCCTATGGATTTTGCTTCTGTTATCCCTTTTTGAATCCTCTCAGTTCCATATCCCAGATCCTCATTGCTGTTTCAGGTGCAGAACCAATTCACAGAAGTGTACATTAATATCCCTGAAGCACAGAAGTTTCCATCAGGCACTGGGAAGGGTCCCCTAGAAGAGGGGATGAAGCAGAAGGAGGACAAAGGTACCAACTTTAATGCAGGGGAAGCATTAATGGGGCATCTTGTGTGTGTGCGCAGGGAAAAGATGCCAGAGCATGTGCGACCAGTTTTTGGCTTTGATGGGAATCGGAGTTCAGACAACAAAGGTGAAGGAGGTCTGGAATGTCAGCAAACAACAGTATCAGATCAAGGCTGGGAAATGAGGAAGGTTGCTCCAGGTGGATGGAGGTGATGGCTAGCCGGCCCAGGGGAAGAGGGAGAGAGCACAACAGGAGGAGGAGGTGGCAGCCGAGGCGGGTGAGGGTCCCATTCTGGCCAGGGTGTGCGCCAGGAGTTGAGCAGTCTGTCAGATATAGCGGTCCCTCCCCCTGAAGAGGTGATACTGGTTGCTAGGAGACAACACAGGCGGGAGATTCAGCTGATAGAGCAATGGGAGGAGTGCTAGAAGGTGAGATACATGGGGCCAGTGATCGGGTCACCTTGATGCCATCTATCCGTTCCATAGGTGGATGCCATCTATCCATAGGTGCCTTACACTGAATCAAAACATTGATCCAGTTAGACCAACATTGCTTTTACTGAGTGGTTTTCCAGGGTTTCCGGCAAGATTCCTTCCGTGCCTTACTTGGTGTTACAGAAATTGAACAAGTGACCTTCTATTTGCAAAGTATGTGGGTTACATCCCATTCTGCTTCAGAAATTTTGCTAAACCAGGAGTGGGGCAGTACAATTTTGGGGTAGAACTGCTTTGGGGTGTGGCCCCACTGCACGTTTCATTATGCTTATTCTACTCAATAAGCTTATCCTGTTCTCATGAGTGCAGCTGAAGATTTTATATATGGAGATCAGCACTTTGTTTTATCACCAAGAACCCAAATGTGGTTTTTCACACAACTGAAATAAAAAATAGCTGCATCAACTTCCACAATGCATACGACAGATAAGACATTTTGTAACATTCCTGAATACTTAGACATGTATGCATTAATTTCTTAAACAAGCATTTGCTACTCGCTTTCCACCTCCGTTGTCTCTCACAGGTAATGGAACGATGCTGGCCATCTGGACTCAGTCATCTCTTCTTTATGGTGGAGGGAAAACTACTTCTATGGAACCAGATCAGGTAGGAGAACATTCACTGCCAACATTTGTCTGCTGTTTGCCTCCCAGGGCCTGGACAAATCTCTCTCTCTTGCAACTCTCTCTTTTGCAAGAGCTGCCTAACAGGAAGGCTGTGAATGTCACTCCAGAAGTTTTAAATTCTGAAAATAATATCCCACTCCTTCACCTTAACTAGCTCTTGTTTACAGATCTTCTATGTTAACTCTGAGGAGGATATGTTGTTGTTTGTTTCCAGAATCTGGTGACCTTTGAAGAGGTTGCCGTGTACTTCACAGAGGAGGAGTGGGCTCTGTTGGATCCTGACCAGAGAGCGCTGCATAAACAAACCATGGAGGAGACTTGTCAAACTGTCGTGTCTCTTGGTAAGGCGCCTTCTTTGCCTGCTTGATAATCCCTGTGACTCAGCATTTTATGGATTCCTATATTGCAGC